CTGGTGATCGTCACCGATCCTCCGGTGGACGTGGTCGACTCGCCGGCCGCCATCTCGACCAGACCACCCTCGCCGGTGTCTCCGCTACCCACCGTCAGAGTCAGATCACCTCCGGTGCCCCCAAGAGCGGCGCCGCTACCGATGTTGACGGCGCCGGTGTTTCCCGACGTGGTTGTTCCGGAGCTGAAGGTCATGACACCGCTGTGGCCCGTTGTGCCGGCGTTGGCCGAGACGATGGTGACGGTCCCGCTGTTCCCAGTGGTCACGGCCCCGCTAGACACAGCCACAAGGCCGCCTCCTGTGGCTCCGGTGCCAGCTACCATGGTCAACGCACCCCCGACAGCTTGAGCGCTTGTCCCAGCTGATAGACTCAGGTCACCGCCGACCCCCGAGTCACCCCACCCGGCCGCCATACTCAGGGCGCCACCCACCGTCTCTCCTTCACCGGCCGTCACCGTGATCGCCCCGCCCGTCGTCCCGGTGCCTTGTCCGGCCACCACCGTGAACGATCCGCCCGTCTCTCCGGCGCCCGCCGCCAGACTCACCGACCCGCCCGTAGACGTGGTGCCCGTTCCGGCCGCCATCGACACAGGACCGCCCGTCACACCCGTGCCGGCCGCCAACGTGAGCATCCCGCCCGTCGTGTAGGCGCTGGTGCCCACCGTCAGACTCACCGCTCCGCCAGCTCCCGACGTCGCCGCGCCACTTCCGATGAGCACCGAACCGCTGGTACCGGAGCTGGTGGTACCCGAGCTCAACACAATGGCGCCGCTCACGCCCTCGGTACCGGCGTTGGGCGATCGGATGGTGATCGCACCGCTGGTGGTCGCGGTGCCCTCGCCGCTGGTGATGGTCACCGATCCTCCGGTGGACGTGGTCGACTCGCCGGCCGCCATCTCGACCAGACCACCCTCGCCGGTGTCTCCGCTACCCACCGTCAGAGTCAGATCACCTCCGGTGCCCCCCAGAGCGGCGCCGCTACCGATGTTGACGGCGCCGGTGTTTCCCGACGTGGTTGTTCCGGAGCTGAAGGTCATGACACCGCTGTGACCCGTTGTGCCGGCGTTGGCGGAGACGATGGTGACGGTCCCGCTGTTCCCAGTGGTCACGGCCCCGCTCGATACAGCCACAAGGCCACCACTGTCACCACCGTATCCTGCTGACATGATCAACGCCGCCGCCGTCCGTCCCTCCTTCACCGGCCGTCACCGTGATCGCCCCGCCCGTCGTCCCGGTGCCTTGTCCGGCCACCACCGTGAACGATCCGCCCGTCTCTCCGGCGCCCGCCGCCAAGCTCACCGACCCGCCCGTAGACGTGGTGCCCGTTCCGGCCGCCATCGACACAGGACCGCCCGTCACACCCGTGCCGGCCGCCAACGTGAGCGTCCCGCCCGTCGTGTAGGCGCTGGTGCCCACCGTCAGACTCACCGCTCCGCCAGCTCCCGACGTCGCCGCGCCACTTCCGATGAGCACCGAACCGCTAGTGCCGGAGCTGGTGGTACCCGAGCTCAACACAATGGCGCCGCTCACGCCCTCGGTACCGGCGTTGGGCGATCGGATGGTGATCGCACCGCTGGTGGTCGCGGTGCCCTCGCCGCTGGTGATGGTCACCGATCCTCCGGTGGCCGTGGTCGACTCGCCGGCCGCCATCTCGACCAGACCACCCTCGCCCGTGTCTCCGCTGCCCACCGTCAGAGTCAGATCACCTCCGGTGCCCCCCAGAGCGGCGCCGCTACCGATGTTGACGGCGCCGGTGTTTCCCGACGTGGTTGTTCCGGAGCTGAAGGTCATGACACCGCTGTGACCCGTTGTGCCGGCGTTGGCGGAGACGATGGTGACGGTCCCGCTGTTCCCAGTGGTCACGGCCCCGCTCGATACAGCCACAAGGCCACCACTGTCACCACCGTATCCTGCTGACATGATCAACGCGCCACCCACCGTATCGCCTTCACCGGCCGTCACCGTGATCGCCCCGCCCGTCGTCCCGGTGCCTTGTCCGGCCACCACCGTGAACGATCCGCCCGTCTCTCCGGCGCCCGCCGCCAAGCTCACCGACCCGCCCGTAGACGTGGTGCCCGTTCCGGCCGCCATCGACACAGGACCGCCCGTCACACCCGTGCCGGCCGCCAACGTGAGCGTCCCGCCCGTCGTGTAGGCGCTGGTGCCCACCGTCAGACTCACCGCTCCGCCAGCTCCCGACGTCGCCGCGCCACTTCCGATGAGCACCGAACCGCTGGTACCGGAGCTGGTGGTACCCGAGCTCAACACAATGGCGCCGCTCACGCCCTCGGTACCGGCGTTGGGCGATCGGATGGTGATCGCACCGCTGGTGGTCGCCGTGCCCTCGCCGCTGGTGATGGTCACCGATCCTCCGGTGGCCGTGGTCGACTCGCCGGCCGCCATCTCGACCAGACCGCCCTCGCCGGTGTCTCCGCTACCCACCGTCAGAGTCAGATCACCTCCGGTGCCCCCCAGAGCGGCGCCGCTACCGATGTTGACGGCGCCGGTGTTTCCCGACGTGGTTGTTCCGGAGCTGAAGGTCATGACACCGCTGTGGCCCGTTGTGCCGGCGTTGGCGGAGACGATGGTGACGGTCCCGCTGTTCCCAGTGGTCACGGCCCCGCTAGACACAGCCACAAGGCCGCCTCCTGTGGCTCCGGTGCCAGCTACCATGGTCAACGCACCCCCGACATCTTGAGCGCTTGTCCCAGCTGATAGACTCAGGTCACCGCCGACTTCCGAGTCACCCCACCCGGCCGCCATACTCAGGGCGCCACCCACCGTCTCTCCTTCACCGGCCGTCACCGTGATCGCCCCGCCCGTCGTCCCGGTGCCTTGTCCGGCCACCACCGTGAACGATCCGCCCGTCGACCCTGCACCCGCCGCCAAGCTCACCGACCCACCCGTAGACGTGGTGCCCGTTCCGGCCGCCATCGACACAGGACCGCCCGTCACACCCGTGCCGGCCGCCAACGTGAGCGTCCCGCCCGTCGTGTAGGCGCTGGTGCCCACCGTCAGACTCACCGCCCCGCCACCCCCCGACGTCGCCGCGCCACTTCCGATGAGCACCGAACCGCTAGTGCCGGAGCTGGTGGTACCCGAGCTCAACACAATGGCGCCGCTCACGCCCTCGGTACCGGCGTTGGGCGATCGGATGGTGATCGCGCCGCTGGTGGTCGCCGTGCCCTCGCCGCTGGTGATGGTCACCGATCCTCCGGTGGCCGTGGTCGACTCGCCGGCCGCCATCTCGACCAGACCACCCTCGCCGGTGTCTCCGCTACCCACCGTCAGAGTCAGATCACCTCCGGTGCCCCCCAGAGCGGCGCCGCTACCGATGTTGACGGCGCCGGTGTTTCCCGACGTGGTTGTTCCGGAGCTGAAGGTCATGACACCGCTGTGACCCGTTGTGCCGGCGTTGGCGGAGACGATGGTGACGGTCCCGCTGTTCCCAGTGGTCACGGCCCCGCTCGATACAGCCACAAGGCCACCACTGTCACCACCGTATCCTGCTGACATGATCAACGCGCCACCCACCGTATCGCCTTCACCGGCCGTCACCGTGATCGCCCCGCCCGTCGTCCCGGTGCCTTGTCCGGCCACCACCGTGAACGATCCGCCCGTCTCTCCGGCGCCCGCCGCCAGACTCACCGACCCGCCCGTAGACGTGGTGCCCGTTCCGGCCGCCATCGACACAGGACCGCCCGTCACACCCGTGCCGGCCGCCAACGTGAGCGTCCCGCCCGTCGTGTAGGCGCTGGTGCCCACCGTCAGACTCACCGCTCCGCCAGCCCCCGACGTCGCCGCGCCACTTCCGATGAGCACCGAACCGCTGGTACCGGAGCTGGTGGTACCCGAGCTCAACACAATGGCGCCGCTCACGCCCTCGGTACCGGCGTTGGGCGATCGGATGGTGATCGCACCGCTGGTGGTCGCGGTGCCCTCGCCGCTGGTGATGGTCACCGATCCTCCGGTGGCCGTGGTCGACTCGCCGGCCGCCATCTCGACCAGACCGCCCTCGCCGGTGTCTCCGCTACCCACCGTCAGAGTCAGATCACCTCCGGTGCCCCCCAGAGCGGCGCCGGTGCCAATCATGATGTCGCCGCTGTCACCTGCTGTTGTTGTTCCGGAGCTGAAGGTCATGGAGCCACTGGAACCTGAAGTACCGGAGTTGGATGTGCGAATTACAACTGCTCCCGACGTTGTTGCAGCTCCCTCTCCGCTAACGATGTTGATGGCCCCTCCCGTAAGCACCGTACTTTCTCCCGCATGGAGTTGTATCAGACCGCCAGATCCACTGTCACCGGATCCGACGGTTAAGCTTACCATCCCACCTCTGCCGGAAGTACTGGCTCCAGATCCGATCATTATGTCGCCGCTGTTGCCTGCACTCGTGGTGCCAGAGCTGAACGTCACGAGGCCGCTAGTCCCTGCGACTCCAGCATTTGCTGTTCGAACAACAATGGAACCGCTACTAGTGGCCGTACCTGCGCCGCTGGTTATGGAGATATCCCCCCCTGTCCCGTCTGTCATTGCCGTACTTATTCCTGCGTAGATTTCTACCGATCCGCCGGATCCACTGTCTCCACTCCCGACTACAAGGCTAAGCTTCCCGCCACGCCCTCCTGTGCTCATCCCGCTCCCCAATAGGATCTCGCCGCTGTTGCCGTTGCTGCTGGTGCCTGAGCTAAACTCCAGGATCCCGCTGACCCCGCTGATTCCCGCGTTCACTGTTCGAATCGATATTGACCCGCTTGAAGAGTACTGACTTAGTCCAGAGGTGACCGACACTGAACCTCCGGTCAAACCGGTCAAGGTTCCGGCAGCACCTGCGCTCAGAATAACGTTGCCTCCTGCTCCGCTCGTTCCAGCACCAACAGCGAGCTCAATATTGCCTCCTTTCCCGTTAAGGGCTAGCCCGGTCGTGAGCGTGATTGCACCAGAATCTCCGTTGCTAGTCGTACCGGTGTTGAAAGCCAAAACCCCGCTTGTGCCAGATGTTCCTGCATTCGCTGATTTGATGTAAACGGCACCACTGGTGCTGGCAGAAGAGTACCCCGACTGAAGCAACAGGTCACCCCCAGTTGCAATCGCGCTTGAACCAGCATATATTTCGATATCCCCACCCTCACCGCTTTCAGACACGCCGAGTTCGATTAAAACGCTTCCGCCTTGTGGTCCATCTCCGGTCGCGAAGACTATTTGTCCCGCACCGCCCGAGCTCGCTGTTCCAGTCGTAAAGTATAGGTTGCCGCTTCGGCCATTGCGGCCGGCGTTGACTGTTCGAACATAGATATCACCGCTCGTCGTTGCCGTACCGTAACCGCTTTCGATCATCACGTCCCCGCCAGTGGCGACCGTGCTTTCTCCGGACCGCACGACTACCTCACCACCCACCCCACTACCACCGCTGCCAACCAAAACGTGGATCGCACCTCCACGCCCGTCTTCAGCATTCCCCGACTCAACGACAATCGCTCCGCTATTTCCCTCAGTACTGACGCCAGACATGAAGGTGAGGCTCCCACTGACACCTTCTTGCCCGCCGTTTGCTGTATATAACAAGATGCTTCCACTTGATTCCTCGTGTCCGTACCCGCTATAGATAGCAACCGACCCTCCTGTGGATGCAGTGCTCTCTCCCGCCTCGACGAGAACGTCGCCACCATCGCCAGATATGGGGTTCGTGCCCTTGCCAGCGGCAACTATCACGGATCCTCCGCTTCGCTCCAAGTCTGAACTGCCGCCTGCGAGCATTCTCACGCTACCGCCGTCGCCGCTTGCACCAGCTCCAACCGCGAGGGTAATGGATCCACCTCGACCAGTTTGTGCTTCAGCAGTAGCCAAAAGTACTTCACCCGTATTTCCTCGGCTTGAAGTTCCTGTATTGAGTGAGATAGACCCGCTGGTACCGACAAACCCAGCGTTGGCCGTCTGGATTAGGATTTCTCCACTACTACTCCATTCGCTTCGTCCGCCTTCTAGTAAAACACCACCACCCGTGAATAAGTAGGTATCACCAGCGCGCAGCGATAACGTTCCTCCCGATCCACTGTTGCCGCTGCCAACTGAAATATCCACCGCGCCGCCGCTTCCCCCGTCCGCCTGCCCGGAACCGATGCTAATCGATCCTGAGCTACCCGACCCCGAGGAACCTGAGCGCAGCGCAAGCGATCCGCTAACACCGGCAGCACCAGCGTCAAGCGAGCGAATGTCAATTGCACCACTTGTAGCACCGACACCCTCTCCGCTTAGAATTGACACAGATCCGCCTATTCCCCCAGATCCTACACCGGCGGTCAGAGTAACATTCCCCCCCCCACCACCTTCTCTGCTCGTGCCGGATCCCGCCGACAGTATAATTGATCCTCCCGGTTCGTCATCAGCGGTAGTGTTCCCAGCGAAAAAATCGACGGAGCCACCGGCTCCGCTTGCGCTATTGCCAACCGCCATGGACACCCCCCCGCCTGATCCGAGCGTGGCGTTTCCAGTACTCATGCGAATTGCTCCCGTATCCCCAGAAAAACTGGAACCAGTTTCAATTTGCACTTCCCCGCTGGAACCCCTGTCATTCTGTGCGTCGGCCGTCGATAAAATGGCGTGACCACTGTCTCTCCCTCTCAGTGAGGTGCTCCCAGCCCCAGAGGATAGAACCATATCACCCCCGTCACCTCCTTGGGAAGAGCCGGCCAACAGTTCGATGGATCCGCCGCCCCCTACCGTGCCTGTGCTGTTCCCCGCTCTGAGTATGAGCGAGCCGCCTGTGCCTGACACGTCACCACCCCCCGGTGGTAAAGCATTCCCCGCCGATATCTCAATAGTTCCTCCTGCTTTGTTGGGCTCAGTCTGGTCGCCAGCTGATAGATGCATGTCCAAAGGGGATATACTGAGCGTGGTAGACCCTGTGTTCTCCTCTCCGACACGAAGGTGGATGCTTCCGGCTTCGCCGCCATACTCCGACGGTCCGGTGGCCAGGGTGATCGATCCACTGTCGCCCAATGAGGCCGTACCGGTAGAGATAAGAACCGAACCGCTGGCACCGGTAGGGTCAGCATTCGCGTATGATCCGCCAGCTTCGGTGGCGACTGTGATGTCGCCACTCTTGTCGCCGGAGTTTGGTCCAAAGCTATAGTGCTTGTGTTGAGACTGTATGGCCGATATGAGATCAAGCGTAAGCGAAACCTTGTCCACCTGGAGGAAATCGCTGATTGCAAAGTCCTTGTCGGGCAGCTCGAACTCGGGTATGACCTCCACATGCTCCGGAAAGACCTCGGCCAGCTGCTGAGCGATCACGCCTCGGACGCGAGCGTTTTCTCCCAAGTTTCGAGCTTGGCGCCACTCTTCCGTGTAGGCGTACTCCACCATCTCCACTTCCATAAAACGCTGGAGAACATCGTCGACATCGACGTCAATGATGCTTTCCTTTATCCGCTCGTCAGACGAGTACTCGATGGTCGTGACCTGGAGTGGGACGCTGGACACCACGCGCGATTCTCCGCCTTCGAATTGTTGCAACCGGAAGTCGTACTCGACATTGTCGTCCATGGGGTTGTCAATGCTGAATCCAATAACGTTGTTCGTGGCGATGTCACCCGCGGGTACCGCCAGATAGATCCCGCCGTCGATACCGCTGGTCACATTCACGTCGTTTTCCGTAGCTACGATACGCTGGGTTCCCGTTGACGACTGTATCTCAACGGTACCATTCAGCAGTCCGCCTCTCCCGGGCCTCACCACGATGCTTCCCCCCGTACCACCATCTCCAGTACTATTACCCGAAAGCAACATTAGCACTCCACCGTCTCCAGAGGGTCCTCCATCGGAAGGTGCCGTTGACCCTGCAGATATCTCGACCGCACGTCCGGGCTGTAAAGGATCGATCTGCTGCCCGGCGGAAACGCGGACGCCCAACTCCGTCATCTGGACTTGGGGGCCGTATTCAAGGGTGCGACCTACTTGGATACTGACATTTCCAGACTTGCCCCCTTCTGCTCCTGGTCCGGTGGCCAGGGTGATCGATCCACTGTCGCCCAACGAGGCCGTACCGGTAGAGATAAGAACCGAACCGCTGGCACCGGTAGGGTCAGCATTCGCGTATGATCCGCCAGCTTCGGTGGCGACTGTGATGTCGCCACTCTTGTCGCCGGAGTTTGGTCCAAAGCTATAGTGCTTGTGTTGAGACTGTATGGCCGATATGAGATCAAGCGTAAGCGAAACCTTGTCCACCTGGAGGAAATCGCTGATTGCAAAGTCCTTGTCGGGCAGCTCGAACTCGGGTATGACCTCCACATGCTCCGGAAAGACCTCGGCCAGCTGCTGAGCGATCACGCCTCGGACGCGAGCGTTTTCTCCCAAGTTTCGAGCTTGGCGCCACTCTTCCGTGTAGGCGTACTCCACCATCTCCACTTCCATAAAACGCTGGAGAACATCGTCGACATCGACGTCAATGATGCTTTCCTTTATCCGCTCGTCAGACGAGTACTCGATGGTCGTGACCTGGAGTGGGACGCTGGACACCACGCGCGATTCTCCGCCTTCGAATTGTTGCAACCGGAAGTCGTACTCGACATTGTCGTCCATGGGGTTGTCAATGCTGAATCCAATAACGTTGTTCGTGGCGATGTCACCCGGGGGTACCGCCAGATAGATCCCGCCGTCGATACCACTGGATAGAGAGACGCTGTCATCAGAAGTGACGATGCGTCCCACTCCTGTCGATGCCTGAATGTTGACCGTCCCGTTGGTAACTCCACCTGCTCCGGGGCGAACTACTAGCTTCCCTCCGGCACCATCACTGCCCGACCCCGCCTTGAGAGTAACGTCTCCGCCCGCTTCACTTGCGCTAGTGCCATCCTTGCGACGACCACGCGACTGGTCATCGTCAGAAGACCCGCCAAAAATCTCAACGCCGCCGCCAGGACCGACCGTGCCTCGCCCGGCGTTGATTCTGACCGAACCACCGGCCCCATCAATACCGTGTCGTTCGTCTCCTGTTCCTGTCCCAGCCGATATCGATACGTCCCCTCCCTCTCCATGAGATGCTTGACCCGCTTGCAGTCGTAGCGCGCCACCCGCTTTGGCAGAACCTTCGGTATCACCAGCCGTGATCCTGACCTGGCCGCCATCCGAAGCCGCTGCAATACCAACCCGTGCAACGATATCACCGCTGGTGGAAGCGTTTCCAGTTGAAACAAGGACTGACCCGGCGGGACCAGACAGCGAACCTCCCGTGGATAGACGGACGTTGCCACTTTTTCCGTTCTTCCCAGCGTTTGGGGTATGAACACCCACGCCACCACTGGACCCGTGCCAGCTTTGGCCAGACTGAATCCTAACTGCGCCTCCTGTGTGGCCCGAAATAGACTCAGTTGCCCCTGCAGAAATGTTCACGTCGCCACCCTTTCCTGCAGTCCCAGGTCCAACGGCAAGGGCTATGCCGCCTCCCGCGCCTGCACTCGAGCGCCCGGTTGCTAGAGTCAGCTCTCCTGACTCACCACGCGTGGAATTCCCGGTGGATACTGCAATGGACCCACTGGAGCCAGAGCGGCCTGCGCTTGCGGTGACAACCCGCACCGATCCGCTCGTCGCGTCTTTGCTTGCGCCGGTGGCAATAACGATAGACCCTCCAGTACCTTTAGCGGCGGATCCTCCTAACAAACTCACCGTTCCTCCTGTATCCGTCGGTTTTCCACCGCTAGCTTCACCGCCTTCGACATCGACGCTACCTCCTCGTCCGCCGCCCGCACCATGTCGATTCGTGCCGGCACCAGCTGCTAGTGACAGCGCACCGCCGACTCCTAGCCGAGCGCTGGACTCGCCTGCAGTGATGTTCACGGCACCTCCTTTGGGGCCCGATCCAGGTCCTGCAGCAACTATCACGGCTCCCCCAGCCCCCGCCACCGCCGCGCCAGTGCCCAAAAGTAGAGATCCAGCGTCACCGGAGGCTGATGATCCCGTGGACAACACGACGTCACCACTCACTCCGGTTGGCCCAGAATCGGGTGTGAGGATGACGATTTGCCCGCTAGATGACGCTTCGCCAGAACCCGACTGCAAGAGGAGGGAGCCACCGGTGGCGGCAGCTGCGGGACCTGCAGTGAGTTCGATGTTCCCACCCGGATCGTTTTTTGCGTCCAATCCACTCGCTCGCCCTGCATCAATAAAAACGGACCCGCCATCTCCACCACTGCCGTGGCTGTTCCCTTTCGCTGTGCTGAGCCCGTCCCCCGCCGCCATCAGAATGTCACCCCCACGCCTTCCTTTTGCCGTGGCATCTCCGGCCCGCAACATCACAGCCCCGCCGTTTTGTTCCGCACCAGTCCCCACAAATAATTCGATGTTGCCACCAGGACCACCACCAGCGTCCCCTGTGTTAAGAACAAGCGCACCCGAACCGCCGTCGGGACTGTGACCGGTAGAAAGAACAGCTCGCCCACTGTTCCCGTGCTGTCCGGCGTTGACGGTTTGCAGAATCAGATCTCCGCTGGTCGATCCGTATGAGTGTCCAGTGCGAATCGAAACGTCACCACCGCTGTCCCCGTGCGTATCTCCGGCGACAAGGATGATGTCGCCCCCGTCGCCGGAGTCGCCGGTCCCGACGCTTACCTCGAAGTTGCCGCCACGACCGTGAACGGCTTCGCCGGTTTTAAAGCGGATCGCCCCAGAGTTGCCTTGACTTGATGTGCCGGTGTGAATAAACATGCCACCGCTCGTTCCAGATTCGCCGGCATTCGCAGTTGATAAGCGCATGGGTCCACTTGAGCTGTGCTCTCCGTAACCGGTCCGGATTTGAATCTCCCCGCCCTTGCCTCGGCGTGAGAATCCACCGGAGAGCTCAATGTTCCCGCCGTCGTCTCCCAAGGCGCCTCCTTGACCCGCCCCGCCGAAAATCTGAACGCGTCCACCGTCGCCGCCGTTGTAACGGTCCCGGCTGCTTCCTTCCCCGGCAACAATGAGAACGTCGCCACCTGCCGCTTCCAGCGCGCTTGTTTCTCCCGCTGCCAGGATGACGTCACCTCCGTCTCCGGTGTGTCCAGATCCCACAGCGGCGAGAATATCGCCACCAGACCCGTCTTCGGCAGCCCCTGTGACTAGTTGAACAGTCCCACTCCCGCCGCGGCTGGAGGTTCCCGTGGAGAGCAGAAGCCCCCCACTAGTTCCAGCACCCCCTGCGTTCATAGTGCGTAGCATGATCGTTCCGCTCGAGGTGTGACTGCTGTACCCGCCCGCGATAAGGACATTTCCGCCGGAAGCCTTGTCGATTGTGGTGCCCGCCGTTAGCTCGATGCCTCCGCCAGCTCCCGAGTCACCGTCGCCCACGCGGATAGCAATGTTTCCTCCACCTCCAATCTGGGCATCCCCTGTCGAAAGGGAAACGCTGCCGCTCGAGCCGTAGCTCGTGGTACCAGTTCGGATAGACACATCACCGCTAGATCCCTGTGCGCCAGCGTCCCCAGTGTCCACCGCGATGGATCCGCTGGATCTCAGCGTGCTCAAACCAGATTTGATCAACACGTCACCACCGCTACCGGCGAAGGACCTGCCACCGTCCAGAGTTACACGGCCGCCGTCGTCGCTACCTGCTTGACCTTTAGCGGCGCCACCTAGAATGCTCACTTCTCCGCCGTCGCCACCGTCAGTCTGATGGGGACTCGATCCTTGCCCGCCTTCGATAGATACATGCCCACCCACTCCGCCGACGGCGCTTGTCATGCCGGCGGAAATTTGAACGCTTCCGCCGTCCTCGTAATCACCTTCGCCGACGGACAAATAAATTGACCCTCCGGCTCCAGCGGTGGCTGCACCCGTGTTGACAAAGATAGATCCTGATGTGGCTGCAGAGGACTCACCGGTGGACACGGAAACGTCACCGCTTGCACCGTCAGATCCTGATGGAGATGTCGCGAGAGCAATGGGACCGCTGGACCCGTCGACGCTTGTGCCAGATTGGACGCTGATCCCTCCGCCCCGCCCAGCCACAGAATCGCCGCCCACAATCTCTACGGTCCCGCCGCGGTCCAGCACTGACGTTCCTCTCGAGCTTCCACCCTGCACAATGACGTGGCCCCCGTCACCCCCGTCTCCTTCGTCGACACTGGAGCCCTCGCCAGCGGTAACGAACACGGTGCCTCCTCGCGCTCCGACAGCCGAAGTGTCACCTGCGTACAGGAAAAGATCTCCACCGTCGCCAGTGCCACCCGCACCGACGAAAACCCCAACAGCGCCTCCGGCCCCATCTACCGCCGCCCCAGAGCCGAGCAGCACCGTGCCAGAGTCGCCGCTGCTGGAAGTCCCAGTGGAGATGGCGATGGAGCCGCTCGAAGCAGAACCAACTGCGTTTGTGGTAGACACGTACACGGCTCCGCTGGCAGACACGTCACTTGCGCCGCTACGAAGCTCGATTGTGCCTCCTGTACCCGTTGAGCTCGTACCGCCTACCAGAGAAACCGCCCCGCCAGCTCCGTCGATAGCGGATCCGCCGGCAAGAACAATGGCCCCGCCGTCTCCGGTGCCGCCGCCGGCTTCCGTTCCTGAAGCACCGCCACCAGAAATTGAAACAGTGCCGCCAGCACCGCCTTCTGCGTTGGTCCCGTCGCCCGCACCGAGCAATACAGCTCCGCCAACACCGTCCACGGCGCTCGTGTTTCCCGCCATAAACTCAATATCGCCACCGGAGCCGACCAGGTCAGCACCGCCGATGCTGAAGACAATGTCCCCCGCATCTCCATCCGTGGAGGATCCTGTCTGAAACTCGATATCTCCGGCACTTCCGTCGGTGGCCTGTCCCGTGCTCAGAACGATCGACCCAGACACGCCCTTTGGGCCCGCATTCATCGTTCGAATCAGGATATCGCCGCTAGAGCTTGTCGTTCCCGAGCCACCGGAAATCGATACCCCTCCACCAGTCTGATGGCTGCTCGTACCTGCGTCGATGACCACCCACCCTCCCACTCCCAAATCGCCACTTCCGACGGACATGCGAATGTCTCCTCCACCGCCGCCCGTAGCATCACCTGATTGGATCAGGATCTCGCCTGTGTTCCCGGCTGAGGACGTTCCAGTGAGAAGCTTCACCATTCCGCTAACACCCAAGGCCCCGGCGTTTGCGGTGGTCAATGTCGCCGCACCGCTCGAAGTAAGCCTGCCGACACCCGTGGAAAGGAGCAGGGCTCCACCGGTGCTCGCCGCAGCGTAGCCACCCGTAGCAGTCACCATCCCGCCCACGTCAGAAAGTCCCTGGCCGAACGCTTCGCCACCTGTAATTGTTACGGGACCACCTAAGCCGCCGGCGTAGGACGTTGTGTCCGTCCCCGCACCAGCCGTAATCAGCACGCCTCCTCCGGCAGACGAAGGCGCGGCGGTGTTGCCTGCGGTGATGTACACGGAACCACCCTCCCCGCTGTCACCACTGCCAACCGCGAGGCTGATCTGTCCGCCCTTGCCGCCGACGGCTGAGTTTGTGATCAGCGAGATCGAGCCTGAGTCCGCGGCGCTCGCGGCACCTGTTCTCAAAAGTAGGTCCCCGCTAGAACCCGCGGTGCCGCTGTTGGCCGTCTGTAGGTACAAGCCGCCGCTAGAGCCGTTGAACGCGTATCCAGAGTTGATGCGCACACTACCCCCGTCGGAGCTTGTGTCGGTCGTTTCGCCCGCCGTAACGGAGACATCGGAACCTTGACCGATGCCCGTGGCCCCGACGGTGATGCTGATGAAGCCCGCCTCGCCGTTCGTGGCCGCACCGGTTCCAAGGACGAGCGACCCAGTGCTGTTCGACAGAGACTCACCAGACGAAACGGAGACGCCGCCGCTGGAAGCGGTGCCCTGGCCGACCCCTGAGCCAACTTCCACTTGCCCGGAAGCGATGCCCTCGCTCGACCCGCTGGCGAGAGAGATATCTCCCCCTTCTCCGCTCTCGCTAGTGCCCCCGCTGATGCTCACGCCTCCACCTTTGCCTTCCACGGAAGAGCCCCCGGTGACCTCTATGCCTCCGCCAACGCCGACTTCCCCCCCGAACGCCTCAAGTCCCTCAGCGCCCCCACCGGTGATGGAAACGCCCCCGCCGCTTCCCCCGATAGGGTTGACCCCGTCACCAGCAGAGAGCGACAAGCTTCCTCCGGCGGCGTTGGCGTTAATCGAGTTGGCGGATAGAATACTCGCGTTGCCACCAGATTGGACCCGAAACGTGGTGTCGTTCAGAGATAGGGAAAAAATGTCGCCACTTTCAGTCGTGCCCGACGCCGAAAGCTGGCCGCCACCGAACTGGGGGTCGGCCTCTATGATGAGGTTACCCACGAGCCGGTTTTCTGTTGATGGGAATGCCAAGAAAGAGTACGTATTCAACGATGTGAGGATGAGAAAGCTGAAGGATGACGGTGGTAACAATGATGCAACGCGACCATACTATTGCCTTTCGTGGGAAAAAGGATTGTGGTGTGTTTCCCAGGCCTTTGAGTTGGTACGACGGGTTAGAGGAGCCCGTCACTCATCGGCAACGCTGATGTACAAAGGGTCCTTTGGAGCCAATCGGGGCGCACCCAATGCACGAGAAGAGCGAACATCACCCGATTTCTCAGTACATAGGAGAGTTTGTGGTCGGACCATGTCTCAGGGCTATGCCGCAATATTTCAGCAAACTACTGGGAGTCGTTTGTTTTGCATGGTGAAATCGCCCGTGTTCGCTGCGGTAAAACTATTCCGAGTAAGACCGATTGTACTTCGAACTACCTTGTTTGTCGCGAGCAGCATCATAGTCTATGGCTCATGCAGTTGCAAAAAACGATTTCCAGGTTCTACCAAAACACAGAGGTGCCCTTTGTGGATGTTAACCGGGAGGCCGTCGGCGGCGTGTATCACGTTCCCGGAGTGAATGAGCCAGGTCATTTCTTCGGTCCGCTGTTGAGGAAACTTATTTTCGAGGACTGGGTTGCTTTTTCTCTTTCTTCACACTCGGGTGAGTGCAGCTGTGATCACTAACAAAATATGCCGGGGTCAGACAACAAGTGGTATGCATTAACCTAATGGCGTAATTGATACACACAGGCAACTCGAGGCATTTGCAGCGTATTTTGTCCTTGAAAGGTGTACCATTCGTTCTCCCTGTCCAGCGAGCTGGGCAACTCGCGCACCAATAAAACAATTCTTTTCTCCGTAAGGACCTTGCTATTAAGGCGGAGGCATTAGACCTGTCTTGCGATTGATTCACCTCGTCGAGAAAATTGGCCACATCCTTCAAACTCTGGTGTGCACCGCCGTTTTAGGTGGTTCCCCAACTACTCTACCCACACGCGAGCAGACTTTTTGCAGACTCTCTATCACACACACACTCGAGAAGAGTAATCAAAACACGGAGCTGGATTGAGGGTGGTGTTTGTTCATAAAAAAGTTCTATAAATTAAAGTCGACTACAAAAGACAGATCTTGCCGTGGCTTTGAAGATGTACATCAAGAGCGCATTGTGGGCCCGGAAACAATATGTAGTCGGGAGTTTTAAGTTTGTGTTGAATGCCGCCCTCCATCGTGGAAGTACATGCCGCTTTGGCAACCGATATGATGAACTAAACTACGACCTCCTCACTCTTTTGCACTGTTGTGCTGCAGCAGCGCATCGCCACTGCATGCAGTGTTTGGAACGGGAAAAGCAACCCGGTATTCTCACCCGCCGGGGGTTGTAGCAGCTGGCGCTACCTTCCCTTGTATATTACCAAGGCAGTCTGCTGGGTGCGTTGCCTTAAACCCTCACAATTGGGATAGACTGGACGCATGAAACATTCAACCAGCCGGTTACAATAGTTCGGAGTGTGGGGTAAGCGACTAGAAGTTCGCCGAAGTGGACTCGATTTCTCTTTCGACCTTGACATTTTTGGCGCCGATGTGAATTGAATTCAAGGCTGCCCAATGTACAGGTTGATGTCCCCATCGAACAACATGTCAGACTGCAGTCGCTGGACTCTGTTCCCGAATTCCAATTATTGGGCGAGCGTTTTCACCACTTGACTCTAATCTTGATAGCCACGACCATCAACCATCGCAATGCATGCTTGCGAGTTTATTTACCCTGGCTATAAATGCTGATGTTGTAATAACACCACGTGCTGTGGAGTGTATGAAACGCCAACAAGTCAAATTGACACAGGTGAGAACGTTGAAGACTCAAGTCTACCATTCGTCGAAGCAGAACGCGCGCTCGAAAAATGTTTTCATCAGTAATGCATAAGGTCGACTGACTGCTGAAATATTTTCTGGCTGGTGCAAACAGGGCACACCGTGAAACAGAAGTGTGCAAGGAAAATGAAGCAGATGAAGGCCTGATGTTTTGTGTCGGGATGGATAGGGGCCCCATGGTGCAGGGTTGAGAGTCCAATAGCACGTAGAATCACGTGGTGAGTTGGTCTTCTCTCGCGTACTCGCGTGTGACTAATTTGCGCTATTGTTGGCTAGGTTGTTGTCGTGAGAGCTTGGGTAGGCTTTGACCTTCTCCCTTTGCTTTTTTCCCGTTTTTGATGCGATTATTCCGGTTTTGTTGCTCATGACGGGGTAAGAAAAGACGCCCACGAAAGAGTACCTTGTGTTTATTGTTAAACGCGTTGTTACTTCGATCAGACTTTCAGACCTCGTTATACCGAAATCAGGTGTATGGTGACATCAGAGAAAACTACAAGGTAGCCTAGATCAAATCACACCGTCCAGGCAATTTAAGAAGCAGAAGGCGTGTGTACGAATACCGGCGACAGTTTGGCGGGCGCCACGACAAACATCTGAAAACGGTTATTGGCCAACGAGGCTTTCGCGAAGAAACGAGGGTTGAATGATACCCATGAGGAAGACTGGTAAACCACCAACACAAAGAACACCGACTCGAAATAAAACTGTTTCTTAACCTAGGATAAGGGCAACACGTAGCAGAGGAACGTACAAAAGGGCAACAATCGAGAGCAAATTTGATTCTCGCGCCACGAAAGCGTTTTTTTTGTAAGGTTTTGCGGTTTGGTGAGTAATTTTTGTCGTGTTTCGCCAAGCTTGGTTTCGCCGATGTTTTCGTTGTCCCGTTGGTGGGACGAACTTTGTCCAACTATTGCGTGCAAATCCGCCCTCACAAGCACACCCAGAGCGGCTGTTGGCGTTGGTCGGTTTCGCCGATGACAACTCGACGTTGGGCTCCCGGCAGCTACTCGGGAGAAACGCACTCTATCCGACTCGCCATTCACTGTTCCCGAGAGGCTCAATGCTTGTTTTCCAGGCATGGGAGGTATGTAGTAGTCAAACCTCATTGGCAAGTTATAGAATCGTTGTCTTTGGCGAGTAACATACACGCATTTCGTTTAATAGTTGCGGTAGGAAGAGAGGAATACCTCAAAAGATTAGTGATGTCGCTATGAAGACTTCTCGGTATTTAGAGACTATTTAGTCTATTTTTTGTGTTTCACAGTGTGTTTTTGTACCCTTCGACGTTTGTTTGTCAGTAGTTTTTCTTTCTGTATTTTTCTGGTATGCGTGTCGTCGTCGTCGTTGTTCACAAGCATCGTACCTACCTCTTCTTCCTTACAGTACTCATCAAGGCAAAGAAACTATTTTCTGTGGCCGGCAGCCCACCCCAAGTCAGGATACAAGTGCAGAAGGGGAAAAAAAAAAGACTCATGAGAAAGCCCAACACTCACGAAGAAACGTAGGTTTTAGACCAACAGAAAAACAAACTCAGAGGCGGGAAAGCAAAGCGCCAACAACATATGCTCGGAATGGAGAATCCATTGCCCTAAACATTCGGAAGCTGCACTACATGAAATAGATGCTGTAGGAGTATGACCACAAAATGAAATAAACCCTCACACGATATTCTCCCACCCCAATGAAGCAGGCGAGTCCAGTCTGTTTTGCTTTTTATGTTCACTGTGATTGGGTACAATGCTGTCTTCCCGCGATGGCAACGAGAGTGTTAGTTGATCCCTCTGCCTTTGTTCCTTTGCTCTCCATTGGGGTTTGTTGGCTCGAGACCTAGCTCCGCATAGAACACACACCAACAGGTTTTGCTGTTCCCGCTGGCGGCACTAAGCCCTTCACTAGAACTTCAAAACAATCGCGTTCCCCTTTTATTAGCATTATTATCAAGAGAGCAACGTAAAGTTCTCGAAGAGGTCCTTGCTGTGAGCCAAATATACCTGTTTTTAGTCGACTAGGGTGCCAGACACGACAGACCCTCGCACGGCTTCATTGTTCGCACGGTTGGCGTGGTCACACGACAATGGCTGACGTGCTGCAGTTGGTAACCTCGCAAACGTTGATGATGTTTGAACGTGGGTTCGAGTCACGACGCCGTAATATGAACTGAGACTTTTCTAGCACAACATGTCCAAACAATGAAGGCGATCAACGTCTGTGTACGTAACGAATTCGGGTCACGGTCGACGAGGGATAGGAAGCGGCCGAAACCTTCTCGCGATAAAAGTTAAGGCAAGCACCGCATAAGGAAGGTGGAGAACAAAGAAAGAATAAAACTCGTGTGTGCTTTTTTCCTCCTGTGTGACCGAAGAGCTGATGCGTCCAGAAAACGTCCCGAAAAGAGTAAAACTGATGCCCGGAATAAATTGGTCGTCGCACACACCGTTGAAAACGGGGTGTATTCTCATTTCTACAACACGGGTACCACTGGTTAACCTTTTGGGTGTGGAAAACCGGGAGGCTGGTGGGTGTCCTTCCCTCTAAGGCCTCGAGAAATCGAAGGAAAGGCACACACGATGACCACACTGCGTTGAGCAACTTGTTTTGGTTCATTTCCCTTTCGAGGTTTGTGTTGAGGGTGGCTTCAGCGGGAACAGCCTTCCATTCGCGGTTGAATTTTTAACAAGGTGGTCTTCTTTGACGACTGCAAGTGGTGTGTTTTTTGTGTTACGTCACTACCAGGTGCATGTTGTGATGAACTCATCCTTTGCTGCGCAAACACGTGGTGGGCCGACGGTGAGAGCGCGAGGATATCTCAGTTTGTTTTCTTATGAGTTTGCTTGACCGAGCACTGGTCTTCATGCCACGATTCTCTCTGGTTCTGTTCGTCTGCAAACCTGGGGGCTAGTTTTTCGTGTTGTTGTACTTTCCGCGTAAAGAGTATCTATACTTCTGACCACTCTCTGTTCTCGATGGCCTCACAGGCCAAACAAACCCGATGGGTGCGAGCTTTAGGAGCGCCTCAAGACGAGGAACCGTATATCATACCACGCCTTGGATTTATCCCACTTGATAGGGCCGCCCTGCACAGTTTAGACGAGAAACAAATCGCCGCCTGTATGGTAATTCATACCTGCCACGAAGGATGTCGGACACGGAAGGTCGAACACAGTCCCACGGCAGTCCGTGCTGAAGATCTCGGAGACAGTCATGCAGGCGCCTTCGGAGGCACACCACGCGCAGTCTTCATCCTCGGCGCAGGTCGTGCACTCGGGGTATTCGCCGCACCTCGGGGTCTCTGTATTGTGAGTGTGGGTGTGTCGATGCAAGTGCGTGTCCGAGCGCCGCACAAGGAAGGAGGAGAGTGATATCTCACGCGTTCATTGGTTGGCTTAGCGATCATCTTGTACTACCAGGTACACTTCTTTTCGAGACCATAAACGGGTTCTACTCGCAATACTGACACCGCCAACACCTGGGTCGCTTTGCGTTTCTACCATGTTTCCGATGTGAAACTCTTGGTTATCCTATAGTACTTCGTTTCTCTGGGTGTTTCGTGGGGGGGATCGGCGGCTCACGGGTTTGCCTGTGTGAAACTGGAAGTAGACTTCGACTGGACGAAAACGACGAAGTCGTGTGCTTTGACAGGATTGAAGCGTGTATATCATTTAGCTGGGAAGAACGGATACGGTCTATGTTGACGCAATGGGAAAGTGCAGCAAGATGGGATGGAACGGCCACAAGCATGATACCGTAGGTTAACAAAAGAAAGCACGAGCATTGAGAACACGAAGGACGTGGGATTGCACAGCGTCCGAATGCAATGTATTGTAGAGTCACCCTTTCGACTAACCGTAGATAATATATGCCGATCGCTCCCACTCCCAATGCAGCAAATTGTGTGGCGGCACGTTTGTCGTTATTCGTCAGCCACTGATCACAGCAGGGAGAAATTTATTTCTTTCTGACCCCAGCTCTAATTTGTGACCGATACACTGGGGTTGGGGAAGATTGACATAGAAGAAGACGGGACAATAACTATAGCTAGGTAGCCTCGGGAAGATGGGGCGATGGAATAGAATCATCGTCTACAAATGAAACAAGAAGCAAAGTCTGACCAGGGCAAACGTCGGGCTCGGAAATCCAGGTAGGACAGGGCGATCCATCCGAAGGTCCGCTCGAGGTCCCGTCGACGCACTGAAGGGTGGACAAGCAGTAGCCGCAGCCTCCCACGCCAACACAGCTCGTGCAGTTACTGACGTCGGTCCTTTTGTTATTGTTGCAGATCGGGGGACATGAAATAATGGAGGTATTATAATTTACGACAAGAAGAGAAGAGCACCACAGACGAGTACTGTATTGCAAATATCTCTATTCAGTAGCACCTTGTCAACTCGTTTGGCTAGATTCAGCGGGTTGAACTTCCAGTAGTGTCTTGGCTCCAAGACCAGGCTGAATGGATGTGGATTAGACTACTACTGTATAGTCTACCGCAGTCTGTATTTTTTTGCCACCCTGACCTCGTCGAAACCTGGTGGAATGTATTGTCACATCTCTTGCCATAGATACATAGTTTCCCACCTCGGCATGCGCCGTAGAATGCCTAAACGTCGAGTCCAGCACACATACGGATGGTCTTGGTAGTTCGGGTGCACCAGCAGCAATCGACATGCTACAACCAATTTTCGACACAGCTCTCATGGATGCAGCAATACATATGGATTTGTACCCTTTTTTTTGTGTGTACCTGGTGTATATGGTTAGTTTATTGTCTGGACTGCAAGCGAAAACATCGTTAAAATTGTTGTATGCCTCTCTGATGCCGACTCACCAGTATACTCCTGTGTCGACTGAGAAATCCTCGCAGACCTGCCCAGCGGCGAGCTGCCCAGCCCAGGCAAGGGCAAGTAACCAGTACATTGCCGCCATCAGTGGAGCCGGACGACCCGAAGGCCCCTGGCGTAGCCTTTTCATGGGTCCCACCACGCCTGTCGATCCAGAGGGACAATCAAAACGAGTGAATTCTATATGTACAACCGTGTTTTTGTGTCGATAAAATCTAAAAGATCGGTCGGATAAAAAAATCAAGTTTGTTTGTCATCGTAAATAATTGGACGGCATGCACCGCGGGTGGAGGCGCGAACACCCGACAGACCTTTCAGGCTATCGAGGCCTGTAGCATAGCTCGCCTATCGACGCCTCTAATATAGCTAGCGTAGAGTGATGCCTGGAAGTTCAGGCAAGACACCCATATCGGATCGCGCAGCAATTCCCGAGAGGGAAAGATTCAACGAGGACGTACCCTCGTCGGCTGCGCGCGGTAACTTCTCCCAAGGTAGACCAGCGCTTTTGCTTTCCCGATGCCACACCTCCGGGGCGGTTTCCTTCTGCTGCGTGCCAATTCTCTTAGCCCGTAGACCTAGAACAGAGACTCAGCAACCTTTCAGCCTTCCTCTTGCGGGAAAGCCGAAGATGTGCGTGAATCCTATGCGTAAGATCGTAAGATCTTGGATTTTTAATATATACCTGCTTTGGGGGAGTTCACCGAGGCGTTCGAGCTGTGTCACGGTGAAACGACGAAACGAACGAACCGGCACACTTTCTTTTTCTCGTGCGACGTGTCACGGGCGCACGGTTGGGTTGGTTATTGTTGGACCGCGCGCGCCTTGCAAAATCAATATGCCAGAGGACTGTCTGGCAGTGTGCTTCTGGCAGTGTGCCTCTGTCGCCATGGTGCTACTACTACTATTGATCTAGTCTACTACAGTGTACCACGGGTTTTTTTTGTCATCACTCTTCAAATCGGTGCCTTCAGCATTCGTGCCGCGTACTCCAGCCGGTGGTCACACAAAAGGTTTATGCTGTGTCCAAAACAATCGCCTGTCTGCTGTTCGGATGGCGGAGACTACTGTTCCATTCGTTCTTGATTTTGCCCCCATGGGCAGGTGCAGTGTACCTTGACAAGGAGGAGGTGTTGGGGTCAAAACAAATGTTGGGGTCGCCGCGCGCTCCGCACGAACACGAGGGTTGGCAGAGTAAAGACAAGCACCCAGCAGTACCGCTGCGCGGGGCCAACGGTAGCAGCGCACTCCATCCCCTTCAATAATGACCCTGAGGACGATTGATGCAGGGTTGAAAGGCACGCAGTATACTATTCTGTTATCCCCCAATCATGGAGTCGAGAGGCAGCATAGATAGGAACATCAACAACATTCAATTCTCCGCCCGGCCTGTGTATAGTCTACATCGACTCGACCCGGTCGATCCCCATAAGAGAGCACATGCACGCGGAGATCATCGGTCGGCCGGCGGACCCATCGCTCCATCCATCTTTGGTAGTCATCCAAGATGATGATTTTGCGGAAAGATCATCACCAGAAGACACGATGTTCCCAACATTCCCTGAGGTGTCGTCCTCGATTTCACCGTGGATGACGCTGCCCGTCGACCAAGGATCTTGGGTCGTGCCCTGTTTTTTTGGGGGTGTTGGAAATTCCGCCGAAGGTGTGTTGACCAATCAGCGAACTGCGTGCGACAAATGTTTTTTTTCTGTCGGGAGGAGGAACCACACCGAACATGGCAGTAGACTACATTTACACCCGAGCACTAACGACGTCCGCGGTCACAGGCCAGTGAACCCAAAACGAAGTTCTACAAGTTGAGAGAGAGGTCAAACACATTGGACACCTACTTTTTTGACGAACATACACGAATCAATGTCGAGTGGTTCCGATAGGCCACGCCCCCAGATGACTACGGGGTCATATCTATTATTGCTATGCATATATATGGTGTCCAACATTTTCTCTAGGGCGAGAAACGATAGCACGACTGCAACACCGTAAACATGACGTAAGATATCACACCCGCACAAGAGAATGTGACACCTGGAGTGGAACTTTGGAAGCTTTGTTTTCGGCTCGAGACGAGTCCAAAAATAGCGTACTTTCAGACGAAGTAACACCATGACAGACGATAGCGCACAACCAACAGATAAAATATCCCGGGTGATGAAACTAATAATACTTACGCGTATAAATATTGTCACGGGGGCGTGTACTATCGTGTGTCGTTACGGTATGCAACTAACTTTTCCCTTCAATTAGCCGCGACCGTAATCTACGGCACGACGCAGCCGTAGGCGATCGCCTTGAAGTCGTGCGCCGGGCGGGAGGTGCCTGTCAGCGACGGAAGTCTTCGCCGAGGTCTTCGCAACGTAGTCCTCTTCTTTGCCAAACATGCAGAGCGGTCGTAGAAATTGTTGTTCGTGAAGCAAGCGTGAATAAATGACCTCGGGAAGGGCGCGTTCTGCTAGGTGACCAATTCCCAACCTCTGCAACAGCAGAGCATCATCTCCGGCCCACTCCGCGGGCTCTCCTAAGTTAACCAACCGCGCCACGCTGCCTACTCGGTCAAGAGGTCAAACGACACTCCTTTTGCAGACCACCACACAACAAGCAAGCGTGTCGAAGGCAATCAAAACCCGTGCTAGCCCCGCGTGCTTGTCGCCAACACACTGACGTGCCGTCCTTTTTCAGTTGTACGGGTTTCTGGCTTCGATGTCCAGCAGTCGCCCGAGGCAAGACACGAGCATGTTTGACAACTCCCCCGTGGGCATGAAAGGCGCCTCGATCTTGCGCACGAGAAGGTTGCTCAGCTCCCGCCGCATCGCCTTGAATGCCACCGCCGTGTTCTCCGTCATCCGGAACCGCAGCCATCGGTCTGTTGACATCGCAAGGATAACGCATGCATTTCAGGGTGCGTGTTCGCAGGCAAACGACGAACACAAGGGGGGCCGGGGTGTCAGGGAGAAGAGACATCAGTGTCTTCGCGTGCTTTTTTGAGACATTACTGCACACTGACGGAATTACAAGCCCTGCACGTGAGCCGAGAGGCAACGAGGGTCTCGGCAAAACAGGCGTGTGAGGGGGGGGGCAGTTTTCACCTTGACCGTAGTCGTTCTTTTGTTGTAGTGCGTGTTGTGTTCATCCTAAAAGCGCCATGGCCTCTGCCCACTTTAGTACCTCCTCCTCAGTGTACTTCAAGGCAAAGCCCGTGATAGAAAAAGCCAACTCAACAAATAGAACGCACAAACAAAATGACAGTCGAAAAGACTCGCAGTGAACACTTCACTAGCCCACAACGACGAATATTTCTGGCGTGGGGCCACCAACTATCTTAGGCTTGTTTGTCTCACCAATGACCACCTCGACAGCCTCCTTCTTCTTGTGTCCAAGCGGCCGCTCGTGCCGAACCCGTGCGCCCCAAAGCATCAAGCTGAACGGCGTTGCGTACGTGGAGTCGTGAAGGTATACCTGCTTGGTCTTCATCTTGCTGTGATACACTACCCAGACCTGCGGCGGCAAGGAAGGAGGCAAGGCGTGTGGTATAGGGTAGATGGCGACGATGAGAAGTGCACGCCGGGACATAAAGCGCCGTTCGTAAACAACCATGGTAAGTAAAACATACATTTCCCAGTGCGGAGGCTTTCATATGTTTCTTACAAACACACAACAAATCCATCCACAGGTAAGATTCCGGGACAGGCAAGCAAAAAAAAAAGTGGTAGGTTTTGCTTTCTTGCCAGAGGATGCTTGCGGAACTTTTCTGTCCTGCACTTGAAAGTGGCTGTGATCGCCAAGTGTTCAGCAAAAGACCGCTTTACGTAGAACCGTGCTCCAATTTCTGGCAACGGCCTGGAGCCCAAATTAAAAAAAGAGTTTTCAACAGCTACACGCTGAAAAAATTATGCTGTCCATTCAATCGACTTGTCGAAGGACCTGTATGCATGTACTATTATTATGTGCAAGAACGGATATGGACGAAGGCCGAATTCATCTGCCCGCCCTGCACGGCATACACCCAACGATTGACAACGTTGTGTTCTCGCGCCAAGAGCACAAGCTACACGCACGAATCGTACTTATTCTCTCGGCACAACTCAACCCCCTCGGAAACTACAATCAGAGCAGGGTCGGAAGCAACTCTTGAAGTGTATGTGAACAAAAAACTCTACTATAGCAAAAACAACAAATCACCACCACCGCCCACACGAACACGTCGCCGTCGCACCTGGCGTCCTGATTCGGCGGCGCTTGCAAATCGCTCGTGGTTGACCGAGCTGGGGTGCATGAAAACCGGCTCCGAGTCGTCGCGGGTGACGAAGTGACCCTTCTTGATCTGGCAGTGAAACGTAGGTTGGTGTGACTGTGGGCATTTTCGTCAGTTGTCAAGAGAGGAACAGTCATCCCGCCTACGCTTGCGGAGACATCGATGAACGTCATCACACAGGACAGGCGAGGCGTTTTTCTTCCGAGACGAAGTCGACCGGTGACATGATCTGATCGGCAAGGCTTGCTTCAAGCAGGACAAGATACATGTATACCCCATACTAGACTCACTATCCGTACAATACCTCTAGTTAGTCCACGCCGTGCCCGACAGACGACAGCGCGCAACGTGGACCTCACACTTTTGCTGAGCTTCCGAGAGTGCTACCCACGCAACCGCCCCGACGCCGTTTCGCTCTGTGGCATCATGTGTACACCACACCACACCAACCACAATTAAAAAACTTGGTCAAGATGCGCGCGTTTCACTACCTCTCACCTGCCGTGGTGTCCTGCTGTGCCGGTCTGGTCGGACGAACGCGGCCACGTGAGGGTACAGACCGGCGACGAGGACGCTCTGAACCAACGCCGTGTTCCCCGAGTTCAGGTCCGGGTCTTGCAGCCCGGGGCCGCTCCCGCCGCCGCCGCCGCCGTCACCTCCCCCTTCCCATGCCGTTGCCACCGGGACCTCTCCTTCACCTCCGTGCCTCCAGCGGCCGCTGCCGCTGCCGCGGCCGCCAGCAGCCGCCGCCGCCGCGTCCCGCCCTGCCGCCCGACTGCTCGGCACCGCGGACGAAGCAAACCCGACCTCGGCAAGCTGCTGCCGGAACTGCTCGCGCAGGTTATCCAGCCTCTCCAAGGTCGGCTGCGAGAGGAACTTCTCGCGGCACCACCTGCGCACTTCGTCGTAGGAGCTCGTGCGGCGCTGCCGTAAAAAGAGCGCCCGTGAGGGGAAGGTGCGCAGGGTCGGGGACTCGAAGGGAGCATGAACGGTGCCGTGCGCGTAGCAGCTACACCTGGCTCTATAGGACAAGCCTGGCGGTGGCGAGCGAGCGGCGTAGCCTCCTCGGTTTCATTTTATTTTTCCGCTCGACCTCGGACAAACACCGAGATTATCCTACCGTTAATGCAACCTACCAGCTGGAGGAGCGTGCAAATGGTGTCCTGGGGAATCCGTGCTGTCGGTCGAGAATGAAGGCCTAGATCATGGGCTAGTGGTAGATACGCGTGGCGGATGCAGGTGACTCCCAGTTTAAGCCTCCCTTGATGTAGGATTCCGCCGCGTCTGTTCGCTGAGCGCCGTGCCGCCGATCCCCACCGCGGTCATCCTCCCGCCCCCTTGGCATTCAATCACCACAACGCTGATCTTGCACGCATCGCGGTTCCGTGCGACAGTGTAGAACAAAAGCAACGAAAAAACAGCTACATACGAAGTACTACGCACGACACATCTGAACCACGCTCAACAAACAAATGCAGCGTTGCTGCCGCACCGATAACAAAACCACAAAACACGCCAGCACCAACAAGCGGCGGTACAAAATACCTTGTTTCTCCAGGCACCGAACGCTTCCACGATGGCGAGGTGGTCGCTCTTGCCTTGCGCGAACCCCTGCCGCGCCTTGTCCGCCCTAGCCTGCTCTCCGAACGGTCGCTGGAACGGTGCCTTGTCGCTCTGCCGTACGATTTTTCGCCGGGAACGTCGTGTCGGTCAACGAGCGGGCGAGTTGGCCCGTCGCAGCCATGGCCCCAGGAGGGAGGATTCACGGATCGGAACTTAATAAACAAACTTCAACCGTCGGGAAACGAAAGCCTGGTTAACGAGAGTAGTCGTACCGTAGACACCAAGTGACGCCAAAAGTATGTCGTGAATTTTGTGGCAGGAACTTTGAGAACGCGGCTAACTTACATGAAAAGAGAAGGAACACACTAGTCGGGCCGAAACGAGGCAGAGGAGCGATAAGTTGGCAGAGCACACACCGTGACGCGTGCGTGCAGCTGTTCTATTCCGTGGTAGTGGGTGTTCGAGACATCGGCCCGCGTTGTCTCGAGGGCTCAGGTCCGCGCACACACACACGAGAACCCCAACCCCGGATAAAACCAACACGACGCAGCGCATTCCTCACGACAGAAACCCGGGTCAAAATCTCAGTTCCACACTTACCAGCGCAGCCGCAATGGTAAGGATTGGGTCCAGGCACTGTAGGATTGCCGCAATGAGCAGAAGCTTGCCCACGCACGCATCCATGGGGAGGTGGGCCAGGTGGTACCCGAGCGGGGTGAGGATAGGCGTACTGTTGGAGATGATAATGGCCTGCGAGAGGGGGCGGAGAGCAGAGATAGAAAAAGACGGAGGTTGTAGAGACTCAGAACAACTGATAGATCAAAGACATGCGGCATCCAACGCGGAGGGTGAGGTACAACGTCGCCAGCGGGGAGGGCCCACGCGCTAGGTTACTGGACGAGTTTGAAGGTGCACTCTTCGGAGTGGGTTCAGCAGCCCCGTCAGGGGCAGAGAACAAGAAATGACGGTACGCCATGCAACCAACAGCAACACTGCCCCACCTGAAGGTCGTCGAGGTTGCGCAACGCCGCGCGCAACATCTTGGGCGGAGGCGGTTCGACCGCCCTGTCCAAGAACTCGGCCGGAGAGCCAAGCTCGAGCAGAAGCACCTGCACGGACAGAAGCGTCGTGCAAAGAGCGTCACGTGACAGGGACGTTCAGGTGAAAACGGGGAGGGGGGTCAACCCTGGGCAGAACCCCGCCACGCATCACTGAGCTTGAGGTACTCCACTTGCTGTTTGTAGTTGTATGGCCCCCGGTATCATAAAAAAACAGGTGTGTGCACGAATCGGACTAGAAAGAACAGCCCTACGAACTACCGGTGTGAGGGTTGGCGGTAGCCACGACAGGCGCTCTCACTGCCATCCTTGGCCTTGCCCAGGACAACGAACGACCACCAAGGGCACAACAGGGAGACGCAGCGCAAAGGCATCACACATTGCTGCACACTCGGCATGGCACTCCCCCCCCCCCTACCACCACTATTTGCTACCCCTACCTGCAGCACCAGTTCTTCGAGCGGGGTCCGCAGCATCTCCGCCAGCGTGTGCGTCGGCATGTAGCTTTGGTGGAACGCCTCGGGGTAGAGCCGCCAGCACTTCCCGGCCCGCACACGCCCGGCTCGCCCCGCCCGCTGGCTACCGCTGGCCTGCCAGCGTTCACCCGTACGACACAAAAAAAGGAAGTTTAGAAAAAGCGTATCGTACGAGAACGGACAGAGCAGTGTGCTGAGTATCTAAGCGTCGCAGCACTATTTAGTCGACGTGTCGACCGAGCTGCATCTAACGTCGTGCCGGATGCGACCGGAGTTTTACTCTCATTTCGCCCCTCCAAGCACCACGGGGTTTCGAAGAAAATAACGGCGACGGTACGATTGCATGTATTTCAAGGGGTCTAGTCGTGCTCCGACCTTGGATATCCAGACCTCCACCAGGCACGACATGCGGGTCAAGGGGTCGTAGCGCATCTCTCGCACCCGGCCCGCGTCAATCACGTGCGTGCAGTCATCGATCGTCACCTGCCGTAATGGGTCGCCGTCGCGGTTGAAACAAAACAAAAAAAAAAACGCGGAAAGAAAGGGCAGCAGCGAGAGCAGCACGCCGGCGCCAGCTTTGGATGAGGCTCAGCTCACAGCGACGGGGCGACGTGGATTCATCGCAACCGAGACTACGGGGTCATCAACCTGAGCAGGGTTGACTAAATGAAAAATAGCGCATGTGTTGACATTAGTAGTGCGTCCGTAAAATGAAGCGGCCATGCACGGGAAACGACGGTTGGTTCACGCTTCCCGGCAAGCCCGCAACATCAGGCAGTTCTGGCGTGCGACACACCACCGAAATATCGTGTGCCAGACACGTGCGAAACGCAGCAGTGTCCTCCGCTTCACAACGCATCAAACTAAACGCAGGCAACGCAGCAGCAGCAGCAGCAGCAGTGGTAGACCAGCGCAACGTGGTGCAGTGGTAGGCTAGTGCAACATGGTGTCTGGCAACGATACGGATGCATAACCGAAATGGCACAAAAGGAGGCGTTGTCGCAACAGCCCGGGTTGGGTCGGGACTCCTCACCGACGTCTCAGCGATGTTGGTGGAAACCACGATCTTCCGGACGCCGGCAGGCATGCGCTGGAAGATCGACTTCTGCTGGTTCGAAGGCAGCGACGAGTGCAAGGGGAACACCCGCGCCCCCCGGCCGATCCTTGGGTGTCTCTGCAGCGCCTTCACCAGCTGATCGATCTCGGCGAACCCCGGCAAGAAAATCAAGATAGCCCCCAGGGGCTCGGTTTCGCCGCTGTTTCCTCCGGCTCCTTGTTTGCCCCGGCCTCCTCCACCTCGAGACCAGCCCCCGCTGCTGCCCGACCCACCGACACCCCCCCGTTGCCGATCATCACGCCCCCTTCCGCCGCCGCCGCCGCCGCCGCCGCCACGCGAATTTCTGTTGCTGAAAATATTCTGACTACCCCCTCTACCCCCTTCGCTTCCCCTGCTGCCCCCGTCCCCCTCTGTTCTCATGATGTGGTCCACCAGGTCCACCATGACATCATAGTCCACCTTGTCCTCGCATTTCGGGGACACCATCGCGGAAGCGGCGGCGGCGGCAGACGTCGCGCCGTCGTCCTCGCCCAACTCCAACGGTTCTCCCGTGAGCGGATCGTACGCCGCCGGAGTCTCGCCATCGTCTGCCTCACTCCCCTTCCCTTTCGCCGCCGCTGCAGCCGTCGCTTGCCCTCTCCCGCCCGGCCCCCTTCCCCTGGGATCCGCCAGCGCGCCGCCGACCCCACGGCCATGACCCCGGCCGCCAACTACTCCCGCGCCGGAGGAAACTCGGGGCATGATTGCCGGGGTCCTCGTACCCCGGACAAGCCGGTTGACCTCGTCCATGTAAGTGACCTGGTCGGTCGGGAGGACAACGGAGTGAGGCGGTGGGGACGATGCGGAGAAAAATGAGGCAGAGGTGGGGCACGTTTCTAACCTCGCGGACAGCGAGCGAACTAAAGCGCCTAGGATTTGGCTTCTAGACCCTGCCAAGCAAACAAGCTCTGACAGCACCCCGTCTTTTTGCTGTTGTTTCATCCACCTCGTATGCACATGTCTCTCTCGGATGCAAGCAATTCGCACCTCGACCGGGAAGGTACGGCCAGGGACGGTGATTGCCGGACAGTCGTGGAAGTACTTAGTGAAAAGATCAGCCTGTCATCGTCACCGGATCGAACAAAGAACACACAGCAGGAGAGCACGGACAGACGTAAACCGTTGGACGGCAAAAAAATATCGTGCGAGACCGCGGGGAATAGAGTCACGAAACGTACAGTCAATGCATTTCATACGCGGTACAGCTCCCTCACGCGGGCAAGACCTCGGTCAGACGAAGGGCGACCTTCCAAAGTTTCAGACCTGCGCCTACCGGGGGTAATTACGGCAACTCTGTTGCTAAAGTGGCTGTATCGACGGAAAAAAAAACAGAAATTGGACAATTGCCCGACGTTGGAGCTCACGCGTTGCAGGAAAACACATCTTCTCGGGACTACCCTGTACAGCCGACGATGTACAACACCAGCCTGCCCATCCTTGCCTGAAGCGTAGCACTCATGAGCACCACGCGGAGGTCGGGTCTCTTGGGCAGAAGATCTCTCAATATCACCAAGAGGAAGTCTGTCTGTAGGTCTCGCTCGTGCACCTGAAGACAAAGACAAAAAAACCAAGAAAGTTCGCCCGCCCGACGGACGACACAGGTGCAAGCCAAACGACGAGGTCAACAGTCACAATCCGCAACGCAAGATAACACCCGGGGCTCCATGACCCTCCTACCCACGCATTTCGAGCAAGTGCTCGTCGAGCTCGACACGGAAGACACAAAATGCTGCTACCTGCGACGCAAGGGAACACCGGGAGTTCTCCATGCATGGTCCCCCCGCCCACATACTTCACCGAACTGCTTGGGTACAGTACGCCGCGGAAGGCACAAACTGCCTGCCTGTGTCTACCTTCCCCGACTCTTGGAAGACCTCGGAGGCCACAAACGACCCGCCTCGTCTTGCGTATTAAAAAAGCCATCGCACTCCACCCCACTCGCCTCGTCGACCATGACGTGAGACACACCCGCCAGCGTGTCGTCGGACGTCAAGCGGCGGAGGAGGATGCCGGTGGTGCAGAACGTCAGCCGAGTGGACGGTCCTACCCGCGAGTCCAGCCGGATCTGGTACCCCACCGTGCCCCCCACCCTCTCACACCTAACAAAAACATAGTTGTACAGTAGCCGTGTTGTCGGGCGTACTCTTATGTTTTGCATGCCTTAGCGGTTAGACCATTGACCACGAGTCCTAGGACGGAGAATTGTTCCCACAGGACCGATCACCGATGGCCAATCGGTCCTTCCTACTTTGCCAAAGGTGGCTCAAAAATGTCTTCCCTAGTCTGTCCATCCTAACGATATTCCTTCCCGCCTTTTCAAACCACTTGCTACTCCCCAGTACAGCTACCGTCCTCTCTTCTCTATTCCATGCCTCAAACATCTCCCTGTACGTCCCTTGTATTTTTTCCAGCTCAGTAATGTACACTTCCCTCTCCTTATTGTACAGCCGACATTCCGCGACTACATGAACACGGTCTTCGCACGACAGGGATGGGGGGGGGGGGGAGGGCATACTCTTATGTTTTGCATGCATTAGCGGTTAGACCATTGACCACGCGGCCTCGAGAGGACGGAGCATTGTTCCCAAAGTACCGATCACCGATGGCCAATCGTTCCTTGGGGGGGAGAGGAAAAGCCCTCGAACATGTTGGCCCGGTTTTCCGTAAACGATGGCGGGAAGTAAGATAGACAAACAACACAGAGGTTGAGCGGTGGGCAGCCCTTGCCACAGGAGAGACCAAACTTAAGAAAGACCCAAGGACTGCGCGGTTCGCTGGACACGGCCGACGCTAGGGTCGCCAGAGTCGGGGGCCAGCCCCCCCCGCGTGCAAAATGGCACATCAATCCTCACAAGCATTTCATTTCCGTACAACAAACACAAAGACCTCGCCGACAGCCTCTACCTGCAGATCAACAAGCGGCCACGATCCCCCTCCCGCTCTCACCTTTCCGACGCCACCCTGTCGGCGACTCCGACGGCGCTGATCCTCCGCGGCTGCGTGCAGATGATGTTGCACTTGCCGCCCTCGCCCTGGTCGATGAGGTCGTCCAGCACGAACTGGGGCACCTGCGTCGTCTTTCCGCACCCGGTCTCACCGCTCAGGACCACCACCTAAACGTCACCACGATACGTGTACAACACCAGGGGATGGTGGTGGAACGCAGCTAGGGCGAAAGTGCATTGGATCAATGAGGAGAATGTACAGAAAAAGCGTGGAAGGTGGCGTGGGAGCGGAATTGATCGATGAGAAGAATGTAGAGTTAGACCAAAAAGGTCCTCGCGACGGGCGCAGGGTACGCCCTGCCTGCCGCTAGCCCGGTACGCCAACACGCACGAGGCTGAGCCACAAGCGCGTACGCATACAAGAGGACCAGCGGGAGCAACAGCAGTTGAAAGGGAACCAACACCAGCCGCAGTGCTGCAACGACTCTGCCGCGCGCGCATAACATACTACTTGTGCTCCTTTTGCTGGTGGTGTCACTTGAGCAGGTGGGCCAACCTCCCATGTTGGCATCCAGTGTCGTACCTGGTTGTCGCGGATGGTTTTCACGATATCCTCTCGTTGCAGATAGGCCGGAAGGTTCCGTCTCTGCGCCATCATCTGTGACGGGCGAAACACACAAAAGAAAAAAACAGAGAGAGAAACGAAGGAAGTGCACGTACCGAGCGTGACGTTGTAGAACACACCGTTCATTCATTCGAGCATTGCCAAAGAGAAATTCCAAGCGCTGCAAAGTGAAGCATCTGATGGAAGGCACCCGCAGAAGTGAGGCAAAAAAACGCTTGCTCAACCTCTTTAGCCGATACGACCGCAGTCACAAACACGCATAACGGGATCGGGAGGTGCAATACAATCACGTGTGGTACGATGGAGCTTTTCAGGATGCCGTTTGAACTCCCAGTAAAAAAAACGACAACGCGCAGAAAAAGCTCGCCTGCCTCGACTGCGCCGTGCTTTCCACCTCGCGCCTCTTGTCCATCATGCGCTTCCCTGCTTCCTTGTCGGAGACGTCGCCGCCCCTCGCGTGCCCCGCAGCCCCCGACTGCCGCTCCCTCGCCCGCGCCCTGTACGTCTCCCTGATCCGGCCGAGTGCGGCCAGAGCCACTGCCTCCTCGTCGTCTTCCTCGGTCTGCCGTTCCCCCTCTCCGCCCGCCTCAGGCGGCGCGGCCGAAATCTCGCCGCCGTCGTGTTTGCTGCTACCGCTACCGCTACCGCTGGCGGCCTTGACGCCTTCCGCAGAGGCTGAGGACGCCGCAGCCGTCGCCACCGGAGCCTTCTCTTTTGTCCCACCAGCCCCACTGGTACAAGAGATCAAGACGACCGCGCCGTTGGGAACCCAGGAGAGATCGGACAGCCAGTCCACCACCTGGCGTGTTGAATGGGGAGCAAGAGTTTACCGAAAAGACTCAGGCAGGATGGGTTGAGGTAACCGGCGAAGAATGTACTGCGGCAGTGGTCCCGGTATAATGCCGGTCGCCCGGCACAACGCACGTGAAATCGTCAAGCACAGATGGGACATTCAAGTTGTTTCATATTCTGAATAATGCCGGCTGCCCGCTATAATGCCGGTGAAAATCGGCTGGATCCACCGGCATTATACCGGGACTACTACTGCTGTGCTCTTGAAACGAGAGAACAGGCGGGCGCTCAATCTTGCATCCAGTCAGCGTTTTCAAGGTTTGCAAAGAAGAACACTGGTGAATCTAAGGTGCCGCTTTCCCACCGGCAGCGGGACAATTCCACGGACCCATCCGGGACCGGCGCAAGCCCACCCAATCCCAAGTGATTGAGGCAGCACGCGCTAGAGCGACATGAAATTACCCCCCAACAAGATGAGAAACGACGGGCTGCAATACGAAATCAATCAGCATGATCACCCTCCTCATTCATTCAGCTGAAGACAAGCAGCGTTAAGGGTGTCTTGTTATTGCACGGCCTGCTCACCTCCTCGCCCTCAACAAGCGCCGCGCCCTTGGCCTTCTTCTTGATGTGCAGCTTCCCTCGGCAGGTGTTGAGGAAGCCCAGAAGAGGCTCCTTGCGGTCGAAAACTAGAATCTGCGCGGAGAGATTGGCAATGCGGGCATCGAACCTGAGCTCGGGGGCATCGCCCGTTGTGTTGTGCCCGCATCAAGGTTCGTCCAAACGCCCCACCCAGCCGCCGATACCGGTAGCCGGGGCAATGTTGCGCTGGTGTTGCACCAAAGGAGCAGACGACAACCCGCGCTCCGCGAAACAACCGCACAAAAGCAGATCACTCAAGCCGTGGGAGTAGACAACAGCGACAGCCAACAGACGCCCACACCTACAACCGAGATGCACGGAGGGCCACCACAAAGAACGGCATGCAAGTTCTGCTCCACGCGTCGACACACTCCTCGCCTTCTTTCCGTTCAAGTCCGGCGCGCCGGTCTTCTTGCTCTCGCCGCACACCTCCAGGCGAACCTTGTCGTTCCCTTTCCCCGCCCCCGGCGGGTCCGGGCGTTGATACCCGCGGGCCACCGCCCCACTGACCGGGCCGCCTCCTACCGTAGACGCCGCGTGGATCGCTGCCGATGACACCCCACCGGCCTCCCGTGGCGCCTGCTTGGAGGTCTTGCGGTCTTCCTGGACCATGGAAGCAAGGAGCTTCTCACGCGTGACGTTGCTCCGAGCGGCGCGTTTGCTCGCGCTGCCGCTGCCGCTGCTGGTCCCGCCGCTACCCCCGAGGAGTGGGTTCTTCACTTGCTCCTGCTGCTGCTGGCGCTCTTTAGTAGCCCCTGGCATCGGAAGGCTGTTGCCTGCTGACGACTTGCTGGCCTCCATAAAGACTGCTGATTCTGCGGGTGCCGAGTCGTTTACGACCAACCCGGACATGAGGTTCGCCATGTCTCCGAAGCTTCCATCGTATTCGAAGTCACCGTGGTCTTGCCTGTCGTCGATCTCAACATCTGCGTCTGACCCACCCTCACTGCCCTCCTCGCTGTCGCCGCTACCACCAGCTTCCTCTTCGTCTTCGTCGTCTTCCTCGCTGTCTTTATCGCTACCGTCGGTTTCGTCCTCGGCACTGTCCTCCGCGCCTGCAACGTGCAGCTTGTGCAGGATGTCGAGAATCGCGTCTCGCCCCTCCTCGTCCAGCTTGAGGCGCACCGGCTTGAGCCCGCCGCCCCGTGTGTTGTCGTCGTCGCCGTCCTTGTTCTTAGCCTTAGACTTGCCCCACGCTTTATTCTTCCTCGAGGGGGCCTTGTTCCCTTTGTTCTTGGGCTCTATACCTTCCGGTCCTGGTTTTGGTTTCTTGTCCTTCTTGCGGCTGCTGCTGCTGCTGCTCTCGCCCGATTTTTTGTCTTTTTTGCTCTTTTTTGGCGCCATGGCTTGACCTTTTTTGGGCCTGGACGTTTCGGGCAAGGCAGGCATTGGTGCGGAGTATCGACCTCAAAATCGAAGCAAAACAGGAGTGTCCGGGGAGCGGAGTCGCACAAGATGCAGTGCGCGCCACGACCTCTGATCTTTATGTTGTCGAAGTCAGCTGAAATACTGCCGAGCGCCGAGTGACCAAGATAGTCTGTCTTATTTTCTTATTCGTATGTTGTGCTGCGGGTGCTTTGGGACGTTGGTTTTTTGCTTTGGGCGTCAGATTTGATGTATTTCGGATTACGAGAGGATCGTTTGCTTCTTGGTCGTGGTATGTACATGCGTTCTTATCCTTTCAAGTGTCCACGCCAGTGGCGGGGGGCTGTACAAAATGATTTATTCCGCGTCCATGCGTGCAAGCAAGAGAGGTGTGTGTGCATGTGTACCGAACGCGAGAGGTACGAAATTGAGGCTAAAAGTACCACAACTTACCGTGGGTTGCATAAGACACCACGCCCCCTGAACCGATTTCCAAAGCTCGATTACTCCACAATGACGAGGAACTAAAATCAAACGAGACGTTTTCGGAAAGCCCTCGACGAGACATTTCCCGCGCCGCCATTTTGGGCACCGCCTCTTCTTTTACCGACGAAGGATGAGGGTGCATGCGTGCATAGGCTAGACTACGAACGTGTAGACTACCAACACTTTTGAGACACATGCTCCCATTATGACGATCATTCACGCATACAGGACGTCATAGAACAGAATATATGCGTAACTGCTGCGTTCATTGGTTTTACTAAAAATAAAGTACATATATTATGACTTAGCAGACCACGCGCTGGCTCGAGGGGGGGGGGTCGGGGGGGGTTTACCCCCCCCCGGCACTCGTATTGCGATCCAGCAGACAACGCGTGCGGTGGAGCAAGCATACTACGCGTGTGGTGAACCCAGCAAACCACGCTGGGGGGGGTCCAACCCCCCCGGCACTCGTGTTGTGACCTAGCAGACTACTACACGTACGTGCGGTGGACCAACCAAACGACAGCATACAACAGTAGACTGCTGTGTGACTGCATGTACAGTTAACGTACAACGGCTCGCACGTACAACCACGCATCATAGGCACACACATACACAGGTACTACTGCTGCTGCTGGTGCACACGTTTGTATCTTACAGAGCTGTGTGCTTCCGTTAGGAACCGCAGAGCAGCGTCGATCTACCCTCTCCTCCACCCATGGGCATCAACAGGTACAACCACACAACATAGGCGCACACGTTACAGAAGGCATCGTCATCACACTACCAGGTAGTTGCTGCACGTATCTCTCTCTGTCTCTCTTTGTGCTCGAACCCACCCAGCCAGCCTCTCTCGACTGCTGAAAATTGCTGGCAAGTTCCTGCTGGGGCACGGAACACCTGCATACCCTGTATCTACAAATAAATTCTTAAACCAGGGAGGGGGGGGGGGTCGCGACACCTCCGGACATATATCTCGCTCACTTCTTTGTGCCCTGGGCTGCGGGAGGCGCGTCCCCGGAAAACCAAAACGCCAAACTACTTCACACCACACAGCAGGCACAGCACTTGCATATAGAAGCACAGCAGGCAACCCGTCTGTTGCTGCTGGGCTGCATGTCTGCTACTGTAACCAACGCAGACGGTTGCTATGCCATGAGCTATACAGCGCAGTACCACGGGGTTGCCTGCGCATCAACCACTGTATTACGTTCGTAGCAGCTCTCTACTTGCCGCTGTGCTTCTTCTCGGTTACGAACCGCAGTAGAGCACAGCGTCGATGTACAACCCTCTTCTCCAAGCGTGTGCATCAACAGGTACAACCACACATCATGCGCGCACGAATAACATACTAAATCGTCATCACAGCAGGTGCTGCACGTCTCTCTTGGCTCGTACTCTCTGCTCTACTGCTGTCTCTCTGTCTCGTGCTCGAACCCACCCAGCCTCTCTCGACTGCTGAAATTTGCTGGCAAGTTCCTGCTGGGGCACGGAACACCTGCATACCCTGTATCTACAAATTCTTAAACCAGGGGGGGGGGGGGGTCGCGACACCTCCGGACATATATCTCGTTTAGCCTCTCACTTCTTTGTGCCCTGGGCTGCGGGAGGCGCGTCCCCGGAAAACCAAAACGCCAAACTACTTCACACCACACAGCAGGCACAGCACATGCATAGAAGCACAGCAGGCAACCCATCTGTTGCTGCTGGGCTGCATGTCTGCTACTGTAACCAACGCAGACGGTTGCTATGCCATGAGCTATACAGCACAGTACCACGGGGTTGCCTGCGCAGCAACCACTGTATTACGTTCGTAGTTGCTCTCTACTGCTGTGCTTCTTCTCGGTTACGAACCGCAGTAGAGCAGCGTCGATGTACAACCCTCTCCTCCTAGCGTGTGCATCAACTGATACAACCACACATCATGCGCGCACGCATAACATACTGAATCGTTATCACAGCAGTTGCTGCACGTCTCTCTTGGCTCGTACTCTCTGCTCTACTGCTGTCTCTCTGTCTCGTGCTCGAATTCACCACGCTGACTCTCAAACTGCTGCTGGGGCACGGGACAACTGCATACCCCCTAAGATTACACAATGTTCATGCGTACGGGGTGGGTGGGTGGGGGTTCAAATTCAAACGGACGGCAATACTCCTCCTGCCCGGCTCGCTGCTGCCGTCGACGCTCGTGCGCGGAGCCGACTTCATGTATCGCTGCCCGGCTATGCTGCCGCTCCTCTTGCAACTCTTTGGCATCAGATTGCTTTCGACTCTTCTTGCCGTGAGCTCTATGCCGCTGCCAACCATAAACTCAGAGGCCTTCCTCGTTGATGATGTGTTGAGTGATTACCGTTACGAACACACAATCCCCGAGCACTTAGCCTGCAGGAGCGCCTTGCCCTTATCCTGGACCGAGGGACATTGCAAGGACAGCATCGAGAGCTTCAGCACTTAATCTGTTCGAGCAACCTCGTCATACCTCGGGAGCTACTGAGGACCGCCCCGTGCAGAGGAGATGGCAACTGCTGTGGCTATCATTCTCTTCTGAACGGATTGAACGTGGAAAGAGGACAGGTACGCATACGCAAATTTTAAAAATTTAAATTTTCAAACCCCTGTCGATCGCATGCCCATAATACAGCAGTACAATATGTGTGGGTGCCTACGTGCAAACCTTACAGCATAGTCTGTGTCATGTCTGTGTGCAAACCTTCCTTGCAGCAGTGCAAGCCCCAGCAGTCTGTGTGTCGTGTCTGTGTACAACCCGCTGGTTGCTGGCTGACTGTCTCGACTGTTCCAAATAAATGCATGTATCATCTGTAGACTATACTGCCTGCTGTGTGTGTTGGTGTGTCTCCCAATCCGATCATTGGGATGAGGTATACTGCTGTTGGTGAGTGTGTCTCCTATTATAACAGCAGACCTTCACTGCTGCTGTGTCCTTACTTCTTAACTGTGTCGTTCTGTCACCGGGTGCTCTCATCTAACTATCAAAATACTCAGCACCTCGCGCATCTCCACGCCGTCTTCTGGTCCTGAAGGCCACAAAATACGAGCATCGGAACGCCGACATCGGTAGCCTTAAGGATGTCGTCGCTGACATCTGCGTGAACCACGTCACCGGCGGTCGCGCTACCTCCGTCGCCCACTTGAGACGCTGGGAAGACACCGCGGCTTCGTTGGAGACAGAGATCAACGAGCAGGCCGTAGACCATAAACGCCCGGCGTGGGTCGAGGTTGAGCTTACGACCGGCAAAAGGAGGGAGAGCACTGTCAAAATACAGCCCTTCGACGACAAAAGCGTATGGGTGCCCTACTGCAGGGGGGTAGCGGTCAGCGGCGCGTACATCGTTAAGCAGTGGCCTTTCATGGTCGCTGCTTGCATGACCGTACACAGAGTGCAAGGGGTAGGGTTCGAAGGGTGGCCGTGTGGATTCCTTCTAGAGGGTTCTTCGCCCAGGGTCAGGGGTACACCGCCGTGTCCAGGGGGAAAACTCTAGACGGCCTGTTCCTCGTGTTACCAGACTATGTCTTGCAGGATAAAGAGTTAGTAAGAGAGTTCCTCAAGGAGGCGTTCCAACCGCCCATCGATGCCATCAACGCTCTAGCCGACATGCGACAAAAGGCACCGGCCACTGTACGGGGTAGGGGAGTTGCGTACACTACACTGTGGGACGAAAGACGGTCATACGAAGCCAGCCCCAGACGGGTGGGCGGGTGTGTGGCCTGGAGTTCTGTACAACGGTTTGGGTGGGGCAACGCGTGTCGAGGGGGAGTATGCACTTGCTGAGCGGTCGAACTATTAATCCTCTTGTGCAATATAGCCAAGTGGCTACGAACGAAGAGAAGAGAGGCACACCGGTGTGTGACGAAGCACATAAGGAACTCGAGAGGGGGAACATGACGCTGCTGCGCATGAACTGCCTTTGAGTACATGCGAGCAACACGGCACTCCTGTGACGCACACTGCACGACGCTCGAATCCCCGTGAAGTGCCTTCGAGCGAAGCGAGTCACACGGCACTGTGACCGCACACTGCACCGCGCCCGAAACTCCGTGAAGTGCCTTCGAGCGAAGTGAGTCACATGGCACTGTGACCGCGCACTGCACGACGCTCGAAACTCCGTTAAGTGTCTTCGAGCGAAGCGAGTCACACGGCACTGTGACCGCACACTGCACCGCGCCCGAAACCCCGTGAAGTGTCTGCGAGCGAAGCGAGTTACGATGCCACTACAATATGTCGTACTCCAAAACCATTACACCAACAACACACCAAACCAGGCTATGAATTTTTTTCAAGCTCCACAGCTTCTGCCTACAGCAGTACATGCAGCGTTCTTCGGTCTACTCGGCCACTTGATTCACTGAGAACCCTATTAAGGGCGAGGCTCGTTTCTTATTTCTCCGTTTCCTCTGCAGGGTTGTCCAACAGCACTGATAGTATGGGATCACTGGAGCACTGGTCAAGTTATTACTGCTGACACATTGCACAA